ACAAACTTATGGTTACCAGCAGGGAAAGGGGGTGGGAAGGGATAAATTGTGAGTTCTACATTTGCAGATACTAATTACTATAGGGGACTCCTACACACAAAGTGAGTTGCATTAAGCAGAGAAAGGTAAAAAGAGAGAGAATTTGAATATTTTATGTTGGACAGTAAAGTCAGTCTTCTCCTCGCTCTAAAGGCAGACACTGTCTCTACCAAGGTCTCGAGAACACCTGTGCTTTGCTCCGGAGGGAGGCCTATCTATCTTCCAAGGCCATTGGCTCTACAAACATCCTTGAAAAATTGTCCAGGACAAAGGCATTCGTGGTGTTAGCTGCCAAAGTCATGCAGAAATTCGAGAAACATGAGAGAATCATGACAATAACCTCCCAAAACATCCACCCCTCATTTCTACACCATCTTGACTTCTGGCAACTTCCCCATGAGTATACCACTCCAACAGTTGCTCTAATTAACCTGATCGACAGAAGCAATTCAATTTGTGTCTCAGAGTTTAATTAATTTTATCCACAGCACTTCCAGGGACACAGTGAGTCCTACCTGCAGTTTTAACCTCAATCCTGCCTCCCTGCCAGAGTCTGCAGTCCAACAGGCTGGACAAGTCCCATAAACCATCAAGGCCTCTCTTAGAAAAAGTCAAGCAGCTTTCTCAAATATTGACCCTTGCACTTAGCCCAGATCATTAATCCAGGAATGGCAGGATATATTAGATATTGCTCAATTGCCACTTTGGCCCACAAGGAGGGAGTCTGGGCCAATCTATCATTCATACCAGTCCTGGCCAGTAAGTCGACACTGACCTGAATGACTTTCCGGGCCGAAGTGGTCCCATCGGTCATTTCAACCAAAGTCAGGGACTAATCAAATGGCTACCTCATGGGGTAACTGCCCACAGAGTGCACCTGAATCTCGGGTCACTGATCTGTCTAGGAAGCTCCCCTGAGTAACTCAGGCTAACCTCAGGTGTCTGTGGGCTACCTGATCTATTGGTGATGTTTGTTTAAACAATTGCAGTTCTTTTACAACCACCGCAAAGATGCAAGACACTGGGGAGGTTGGCAAATTAATGCCTGGCTTTCACACAAGCACAATCATCAGGGCACATGTGGTAGTATTTACAATTGTTGGTCCCCGCAGGGGGACCTACAACAGTTGGGGCAGAGGTTGATAACACCTCCAGTGTGGCTTCCTGGCCAGCCGGTAGGCCTTCGGGTTCCCAGTTTAGTTTGAATCATTGAGTCTAATCCTCCTATTTGGAAGGACTTCCTGAGGGCAGTCATCCAATCTGTCCTGTTTGCCCATGCCCCCAGCTAGGTGGCATTGTCACCGAGCAGAACCCTATCGGGCCTTCCTAGAACAGAACCCCCCTCACCATGTCCTCCGCCTGCTTCTTGTCTGTAGAAGAACTTTAGTCTCCTAGGCTTCCCCAAGTTCCAAAGAGTACATTTCATCAGAGAAGTGAGAAAGCAAGGAAAACAGTCAAGCAAGACAAAATAATCATAGTTTAGCCATTAAACAAAGTCAAGGACTGTTAGCTCCTCCCCAGGGGCTGTAGATGATATTCTGAGCCTTGTCCTTTGAGCTGTTTTGCAGATCCCGAACCCTCACCAGGTGGAAGGAGTTAGCCCTGTGCTACCCACAAGCACAGAGACCCCGGACCACCTGGAAGCAGGTTGATGACGTCGACTCCCAGTGACCCCACCACCAGCCAATCAGAAGAAAGTCAGTGAGCGTTCACACTCCCCCACAGCCCCTCTCCCTCACCTTGTCTTTAAAAACCTTTCCCTGAAAGCCTTTGGGGAGTTCAGGTCTTTCAAGCACCAGCCGCCTGGACTCCTTGCTTGGCGTCCTGCAGTGAACATTGCACTTTCCTTCACCATGACTCATGACAGTACATTGGCTTTACTGCGCTCTGGCTAGTGGACCCAAGTTTGGTTCAGCAACAGCATTTGTCTTCCCCACAAGATGACCCGGTGAGGCCTGTGGGAATAGGGGTTGGGAAGACATCTGGTGGTACTGCAGAAATTTTTCCTGCAAGATGCGGGAGCCAAGGATATGCCTTGCATTTCCAGCAGACTTCTGGTAATTAACAGGAACAGTGGTCGCACTAGTCAAAGCCACCCAGTCAGGGAGAAGGCAAATCCTGCGACCAGTTACATTTAAGGTGCTTGCAAAAGTTTGGGACAGCTGCACCAGGGCATTTTTGTTTATAAGGAAGGCTCCAGAGGCAATTAAAAAGGCAAACATCATTCCTGAGTCATGCCCCTCTCCACCCATCTCCTGGGATCTAAGGTGTTTCCTACCTAGGGGCTAAAGTTGCTACTCCCCCTCCAAAATTGGTAAAGCTAAATCCAGTACCTAAAACATCCCTTTTTTCCTTTTTTTTAATGGAGGTGCTGAGGATTGAACCCAGGACCTCCTGCACGCTAAGCACACACTCTACCACTAAGCTATACCTCCCAAGTGTCCCTTTTTATTTTTTCCCCCAGTTATCTTTTTCTCAGACCCAAACCTTTTGTTTGGAAGGGTCAGGTACAAGAGGTACCAAGGACATTTTTATAAAATGCATGGAGACCCAGTATGTTCCCCATTTTGTCCTACGGGGGCCACCGTGGAGGGTCTGTGAGAGCTGTTGCTCACCCACACGGTTGTTTTCCTTGTGATCTAAGACCACGTCCATCCAACGAGGGAATCCAAGTGGCTACTGGCATCAAGATGGACTCCCTGGGCCCCTTCTGGCTGGGCTGTTGCCTAGATGTGCTGACCAGGCTGGCCCGGGGCTGGTCTCAGGGGAAGGAAAGAAGCAACGCGTCCGGAAATAGTCTGAATCCCCAAATTTTGAAGTAAGTTCTTATGATCTTCTCAGCACGTTCATCCAGATGTCCCCAGGAAGTGGCCTTTCTCGAGGCAGCTGCATTCGGTAATCAAACTGCGTTATAAAGGTGTGTGGACCAGGAGGCAGTGAGGGAGGTAGAGGCAGAAACCTTTTTGCGTGGATTTTTGAGGAGGCATCCCCGTCTTGAACGACTCCAGATGCCCGTGGGTGGTGGGGAGTGGGGAGGAGCCACGGGATCCCTTGACTGCCTGCCCATTGTTGAGTGGCTTTTGTGATACAGGGTACACCCTCATCAGACAGCAAATGGCTAAAAATACCACATGGGTTCGTTTCAAGGGCCACAAACAGTGTGCCCAGAGTTGGCTGGTTGGACCCGAATGGCAACTCTGTGACCCTTAAATGTGTCTGCTGTGGTGAGGCACCACCAATAGCCCCTAGAGGGGGTCAGAGGTGTGCCGCTGGGGTCATGCACTGGGCAAGGCGACCTCTTTCCCCGCGAGAGAAATGGGCCAGCCGGTGGTGGGGATCACACCTCTGGCCTGCGATGGCAGCCTCTGCCTCAGAAACCACTTTTCCCCCTGGGTCGGGTCCACGGTGGAGGTGTTCTCATGCTCAGCCCAGTGAAGGGCCCAGGTGGCAGTCTGGGAGGCACCGGTGCTGCAGTCAGCAGCCTGATCCCAGTTGGTCCCATCAGAGAACAGGCTCTCACCTTGGGTATCACCATGTGTGACCTTGACAGTTGGAGGTTTTCCAAGTGGCAGATCCGACAGCTCAGCAACAGCCCGAGAGTCAGTAAAAATGTGTCAGGGTTTACCAAGTGGAATGCTGGCCCAGAGCTATGCAAACAGCCTGGGGTCTACCTGCTGAGCAGAGGACTCACATCCATTTTCAGTTCTGGGCCGTGCTGCCCTGGCGCAGTGTACACCATCTGATTTCAGTCGACCCATCAGTGAACCAACCAGACCTGGGCATTTTGGGGAACTTGAGATCACCATTTAGCCAGTGGCTTGGCTTTGCTGGAAGGAGTGGAGGAGTGTAAGTTCCCCCCAGAGGATCAGCTGTCAGAGATAAAGCTGAGGTTTCCTTTGGGCCAGGACAAGTCCAGGACGTGTGTTCCTGGATACTGCAGCTGGGGCAGGTCAGATGGAGGCCAGGCAGCAAACGCCAGCCTTCCTGCCTGGAAGCAGGGCCCCGGGAGTTCAGAGTTCACTTCCTGCTGCTGTCAGCACTGGCTCAGCCCTGTAAGGTCACCAGGGTTGCCTCTGACCATGGCCTGGGCTGCGGGTTGGGAAAGCAACGATGGCTTTCGGTCAAGCGCTGTTTATAGCTCATTGAGTGATGACCTCGGGCCACTTTCTGGGCTGCAGTGTCCCCCGGACTGGAGCAGTGGTTACCCAAGAGTCAGTGTATCTCACAGAATACCAGTGTTACACAGAAACAAACTCTGTCGCTAAATAGTTTGTCGCTAAACCCTCAATGAACAGGGTCCCCTTTGGCAGGATTATTCAGAGCCTTTTCTGCGCATCCCAAATCTCCAGGCGGGGGCTGTAGCCTGTGGTGTTTGCCAGGCTGAACCAACCAGGGCACCCCGTCATATAGAGCTTCTCACTGCGGGCATTCTGAGGGGCATGCCTCAGGGCACGCTAGATAGGGTGGTTTCTGGGGTGCTGAGTTCTGTTCTGAGATCTAAAAAAACAGAACCACACGACCTCCAGTGATCCCTGCCTCCTGGGGTTCATGCTGTCTCTTGCTCCCTCCCATTACCATCTGTCCTGAGTGAGGACACCTAGGCAGCCTGTGGCCTGCAGCCCTGAGTGAGCTTGGAAGCAGATGCTCCGGCCCCAGCCAAGCCTCGAGGTGACTGCAACCCCCGCCAACAGCTGCAAAGACCCTCATGTAAACCCATGGTGACCATGGGGCTTCCAGCAGTGCCAGGAGAGTGCAGGTCTGAGAAGCAGAAAGCTGGACTCCAGTCCCAGCTGAACCCGCTGTGGCAGGTCAGGGACCTGGGTTCCTGTGAGCGCCTGCCAAGAACCCGGGAAGGAGATAACAATCACAAAGGTGGGCCAGGGCTGCCATCGTTTTGCAGTGAGGATGTTTATTGAGAATGGCTCATTACAAACAAAATATATTTATGTATAAAATCTCTGCAATGCAAAAGATCCCTTTTATCCCCGTGTGGCTGGAGTGAACAGCGTGGCCTGGGGCTGCACTCAGCCCCCTGAGTGCGGACAGGGGTCGAGGTGGCTGCAGGCAGGGTGCCTGTTGTCCAGGCTCTGTCTCCAGCCCCATTTTCATGATTTCTGCAGGAACGTGACCCAACGAGGCTCGCATCCTGCCTCCGTGTTGCTCCCCAGGCAGACGGCACCATCGCAGGGACAGGAAGCTCTCATGAACTTCCGGGAGGGTGACCTCTAACCCGTGGCTTGCCCCGGGAAGCCCTCCTCCCAGCCCAGGGACTGAATTTCTCTACAAGATGGGTGGAGGCTGCCCTCCATGTCAGGGCCCCCTCCTGTGCAGCCAGCCCCAAAGCTTCGCTTCCTCTCATTGTTTCCCTTGACACATCCATTCTCGCCAGTTTTACCCCGACCCCTCTTAAGGACACCCACGCCCCACAGCTTTCACGCACGGTACCCCTGGGCATGGGAACCAGAGCTCCCTGGGATCGTGGGCCACCCAGCATTAAGGCCATGGTGATGAGACCAGCTTGAAGGCATCGCTAGTCTCTGAAGCCCAGGGTGGCTGCCCAGCCAACAGCCCCTCCCCAACAGCCGAGGCTGCCGGGTGTTGAGGAGCAATACGGCTGGGCGGTCTGACAGCCCTCAGCAGCGGAGCCCACCCCTGCCCCTCAGAGCCGCCACAACCTGGGGGCGGAGCACGCGGGGCAGATGCTGAGCGTGGTTTGCAGCCTGGGGGAGGGGGAGGGGCAGCAGCTGCCACCGCCGCGCCTTGGGCACTGGAAGACCAAGACACGGAGGGGCCAGGGTGTTGCGGCTGTTGGGGCTCCCCTGGCCCCTCTGGCCTGAGACAACCCTTGAGGGGTGGGGGTCCCCAGCCCCTTTGGGAATAATCCATTTCCCTTATTTTTCAGGTGCAGACCTGAGTTCGAGACCCAGCTCCACCATGGTCCTGGGCTGGGTTTGTGTCCATGTGGAGAGGGGCCCCAGCACGCAGCCCACCAGCCGTGAGTGCCCTTCTCTTAGAAAGAGCGTGGGCTGTGAAGAGAGGAGTCGGTGGTTCCAAAGTACCTGTGATCTCACTGCTACTGTCTTACTTGAGGATGAGTCTCACTCCCATGAAGTGAAAACTTAAATCTCAAAAACACCACTCCCCCCAACCCCAAAAGAAGAAAGAGAAAGGACACAGCTCTGTCCACGCCATGTGCTGTGCTGTGAGATCCCGGGTGGCCACCACCCTTCTCTATCAAGACATGAGACCCAACACTGTGCCAAGGCCCTGGTGTGAACACCAGGGTGGGTGGGAGGCCAAGGCTGCCCCCGGCCACTGCCTCCGGCCCAAAGCCCCCGAGCCCAACCCTTGCGCTCCCCACTCTCAGAGGCAGACCCCAGGCTGCTGTCAGGAGATCCTGGGGCCGGGGGATCGCTAGGCCCAGGCAGCCATTCCTGGCCCTCGGGCTCAGTTGTTCTTGAGCACTGCCCGCCAGCAGGAGCCAGGGTCCCACCCACTTCCCAAGCCCCAACCCTCTCGAGCCGGAGTACCCGGAAGGCCACAGGGCCCTCAGAGTACTTTCTGCCTGAGGTCCAGCCCTCCCCAGGGGCCAGAGGCCTGGCAACCACCACAGGGCACGGGGTCCGCAGCACTTCTGTCCCAGAGGAGGCCCAGAGAGTCTGCAGCCCCTGGGGCTGAGGTCAGCTACAGTATCCAAACAAACACGCCACCCTGACAACATCTGTCTCCAGGGCTCAACCACCAGGCCTGCGGGGAGACGGGCTCAGACTCCTCCCCCTGCCCTGGGTCTGGCGGGCAGGCCACATGGGCGCCCGTAAGGGTGGGCATCTCCTGGGCACAGCTGGAGTTGGGCTTGGGGTCCTGGGGGAGCTCCACGCAGATGCTCTGGGGTACCTCTACGCAGATGCTCTGGGGTCCCTCTAGCCACTACAGTTGTGCGAGGGAAGGGGCAGGATGAAATCAGCGCTGGTGGATTAAGCAGGCAGGCCTCAGCCTCCTGGAGCTCCTGGCAGAGGCGGCAGCTCCACACCAGAGCCCAGGAGCCCAGGCCAGGGCCAGGGCCTCCTGAGTGAGCCCGGCGGGGCAGGCACAGAGGGTTCCCACCGTCAGCTGTCCAAGTAGACAAAGAGGATGTCTTCGTCCGTGCCGTAGCTGGTTCTGGCCTCCTCGAAGTTACTGAGGCTAGTGCTGCACATTCCTGCTGGGCCAGGAGGGGTGGAGCGGGCTCAGGGGAGCACCGGGTTCTCTGGCACCTGGTGAGCCACCCCTCACCGTTCAGGAAGCCCTCCCTGCCTGTGGTGGACTTTGTGAGCCTGTCCTCTGACCCTTCCCCAGCTCAGCAGACGGAGAAAGTGAGGCCCAGAGAGGGGAAGAAACACATGAGGCTGCCCAGGGTAAGTCTGTGTGAGTCATGGGGGGTCCTTCCCTGTCCCCATGGGCTGTGGGGAGCCCTGGGTGGGTCTGGAGCAGGGACAGGGCTGGGAAGACTCTCCTTTCTGTCCTCAGAAGGCGGGCCTGGGGGAGACGGGTGGGGCCCTGGGCAGTGGCATGGGGCTGGCGCCTTGGGGGAGAGATGTCCTGGCCCGGCGATGGTGGGGGTGTGGAAGAGGCTGGCACTGCCCCAGGTTGGTGGCTGCTTTGCTGCACGGCGAGAGCGTGGCGTGGATTAGGGAGCCCAGGCAAAGCAGAGGCTTTGGGGAGAAGGTGGTGAGGGGCTCTGGGCCACACCAGGTTGAGTGGAAGGAGTGGTGGGGGCTGAGGGCCCGCCCCGCCCATGTCCCCGCCCACATCCCCACCCCACGTCCCCGCACTCACTGTCGGCGTAGGCTGGGTTGTTGTAGAAGATGCAGCCGGTGGCCCGGTTGTAGCCACGCAGCACGATGAAGTGGCCCTGGTAGTCGGGGGTGCGGCAGAAGCAGCGGTGGCCGCTGGGAGCGAAGCAGCAGTACTTGACGGGGCTGGAGCAGAGGTCACAGTGCAACACCCCCGAGTTCACCAGCACGATGGCCACGTGGCCCTGTGCCAGGTGCGCTTGGATGTCCTGCACGCTGACTGTGCTGTGGGCGGGAGGTAGGTCAGCCAGCGCCACTGGGCGGCCTCCCAGTCTCTCAAGTGGACCCCTGCTTGGCCCCCGCTCTGTCCCGTGTCACTAAGCCTGGGGACACAGCTCGTGTCCGCCCTGAGCTCAGTGCAGAGGGAACATCCTGCTGTGCCCCTGTGGCCCAGGCGCAGTCGGGGGCCAAGCATGAGACCAGGGTTTTGGGCTCTGAGTGTGCCCAGGACATCCTGGCCCCAGCAGACCCTTCACTGGGTGATGAGAGTTCAGCTCCAGAAGGGCCCCCCATCAGGGACCTCTTAAACATACCCCACCTCTCGACACAGTGGATTCTTTCTACCTAGTGCCTCCCTCAGTCCTTTACCCTAAATCATCTGTGGTTCACATTAGAAATTGTTGGTCCAATCGATTTCCCCAAATCTCAGCCAGGCATGGCTCCACCAGTTTTAAAACCAAATTCTTCCCTGAAGAGTTTATTTTTCTTTTTTTCCTAAGTCCACTTGTGGCAGAAGGGGCTGCCTAGGAATGGCTGGTCAGTGTTGCTTCCAGGGGACCCCCAGTGCAGCTGGCTGCTCCAGACTCTTAGGCACTGGCCCCTTCGATGCCCCCTGAGAAGACCAGACCAAACAAGAGCCAGAGGGGAGAAGGGCTAGGGGGGTCACTACATGGGGGGCCCACCATTATCACTGGTGGGGATGCTTACCTACTCAGGGCCCTTCCTTCCTGACCCTCTCCTCAGGAGTGGCACGTTAGCGCCATGTGGCCTGGCCCCATGCCAGCCACGCCAAGTCATGTGACCATCTAGTTTGCTGCCCTGGCCCAGGGAAAAATGCCAAGTTTTTCCATTTGGTCTTTGAAACGAAACAGCTGGCTGAGTTCCCCACAGTCTGTACCAGAGCAGGATTTCAGCTACAGGGAAAGGCAGGGGCTGGGCTGGAAGGAAAAACAGCAGGCTTCACGGGACAACTGGGGTCAAAGTCCCAGGTTCAGTTCACAGCATGGCCGTGGTGCTGGGCTGACCCTGGGGCTCACACTGCTTTGCTATCCTCAGCTCCTCACCTGCGGGATGGGGACAGCCCAAGCTCTCTACCCCACTAAGCAAACACTGGCTGCCTTTCCCTCTAACACGTGCTCAGATGGCTAGATGATGTGTGCGGACATCTTCCCTGTTTCCTGATGGGCTACTGTGTGCCTACATTATGTTAATAATGAAAGCAAACCTGGGAAGAATGGGAGACCTGAGAAGAGAGGTGGGGGGAGCCAGGCCAGGGTCTGAGCGGCAGGCCTGGGGAAGGAAGTTGCTTGCATTGGGGCAAGTTGCTCCCAGGGTCTGCCTGAGTCCTTCCCCCAGATGTAGATGAGCAGGAGGACTATGTCAGGTCACAGCAGCCCGTGGGGTGGTCTGGCAGCCAGGCCTCCCTCGATGGTCCACACCCTGGGCTGTTTCCGCAGCCTCCATTGCCGAGCCAGCATGCGCCTCAAGCCATCACCCTTCATCAGGGTCCCTGTGCTCCATAATATGCCACCGCCCTGTGAGCCCCTGGGGGCTGGCTGGAGTCTGCCTTGCTCACTTGCCCCTCCACCCCTGCCAGGACCCACCCCATGTGAGAGTCTGTGTACAGTCGGTCACGCAGCCTGCCTTGTCCCCACGCCAGCTGGACGGGAAGCTCCAGTTCTGCCTGACTCTCCAGCCTTCCCCATACGTCACCCCCAACCTCCCCCACCGCCAGTCTGGTGAGCAGGCGTGCAAGGAAGGGCAGGGTGGGCGCGGACTCACCATTTCTCCACCAGCACCTTGCAGGCTTTGGCTTGTGCAAACAGCTGGTTCACCCGGGTCTCCTCGGTGTCAAAGTGCTTCCTGTAGAAGGACTGAAAACAGAGGGGCAGTTAGAGAAGCCACCGGCCTGGCTGTCCTCACCCCTGTTGGATGGAGTAAAGAGCATGTCACGGAGTCAGAGATGGTGGGAGAGCAGAGGAGTCTGGCCCACAGGGAAGGCGGCACAGGCAGCAGGCCCGGGCGGAAAGCTGTGTCTGTCCTGGGCCGGCAGGGCAGCTGCTGGGGAGCAAGGGACCACACAGAGGGTGAGGAGGGTGCTCAGGAGGCGTGTGGGCACCCTGGGGAAGGTTAGCTACCCTGAGCTTGTGTCCCCTGGCGGGCATGAGCAGGAGTCTGGAGTAAATGCGTAAAGTGCCCCGGGATGTCCAGCCACCACTCGGCTCAGCCAGGCGAGGTCCACGGAAAATACTGTTTGGTGCAGGGAGCCAGAGTCCTGGGGTGGGGGGGAGGCAGAAGAGACCCTGCTCTTGGGCCCTTTCCTTTGCCCTCATGGCCACACTGATCAAGCAAGATCAGTGAGCCTTCTTTCCCGGCTTGGAAAGTTCAAAGGAGAGTTAGGGTGACCGGCACTGGCCACGGTGCAACAATCCTTTTGCCAATGAGGCCGGCAGCGACTCTGCTCGGCCAGGTTTTGGAGCCCAGGCCGAGATGTGCCTCTGCAGGAGGCGAGCAAGACCAGCTGGAGCTGTGCAGGGAGGGAAACGCACTGGTGTATCGGCAAGGCTGCCATGGCATTCTTTTCCAAAAGACAAAAAAGAGGAAAGGAAAGATGGCACACTGATTTTTTTCCAGAACACCAATACCCAGCTTGGAGCCGGCTGTCCCCATGAGGAGGAAAAAATGATGGCCAGAGGAGGGCAGGGTGTGCTGAGGCTTGGGCCCTGCTTGTGCTGGGAAGGACACAGGAAGGCTCCTCTGAGCATCATCAGCAGCTGTCGCAGGCAGGCGGGTGGTCTCTGGGGAAGGGGGAGGGGTTGCCAGGAGAGACCTCGCTTGCTGCTCAGGTCCTCTGGGCAGCTGGACCCAAGATACCTGGTCCGATTGCTCACAAGTCCTGCCTGGAGCCTGGCTGCTGCTGCTCCCTGGTCTCCACATACTGCGTGCACACTCTTGACCGCACCCTCTTCCAACGACTGCACCCAGTGAAGGCCAGTGGCCGGCGCTCACCTGGTTCTTGTAGCCCTTGTCGACGCCCAGGGTCTGGGTGCAGAAGCGGTGCCTCACGCCAAAGTGGCGCATCAGGTAGGCCAGGTCAATGGTCCAGATGCTCTTGGTTAGCCGCAGCTCCCGCAGGGCACTCTCAAACTCACTGTCGTCCAGCTGGCCCAGGTACCTGTGTGTGGATGGGCCGCAGAGGTCACTCACCTCAAGGGGAAGCTGGCCAGGGTCACCTCCCACCGAGGGCTGCCACCGTCTGAGTTCCCAAGCCCCTGGACTTGGTCGTGAAATCCTACAGCCTGTCCTCATGCTGCCCAGGCACCACGCTGGACCTGGAGTCCAGGGCCTGGACTCTGATCCTGACATCTCTTGCTGGTTGTGTGACTTTGGGCAAGTGACCATCCTCTCTGGCTTCCCTAGCTTCATCTCGAGGATGAAGTGCTTGGACTTCAGCAGAGGCTTTCTAAGTTTTAAGCACAGAACTCTTCTGAACCCTATTGTGCCTGGAATTCCAGGAGGTCAAATGGGTAAGGGAGAGGCTGCCCTGGGGTTCCATGCTGCTATCTGAAAACTCTCCAACAAGGAGATGGAGATGGTATGGTTCCTCTGTGCCCTGATGGTGGTAGTCACACAACCTCAGCTCAGCAGTCAGCCCCCTAGTGACCCAGTGGTCACATGATCCTGTGTCTCAGTCATGGGGTCACTCTGTGGGCCAGGCCTGGGCACCGGGGATTTCCCGGCCATCCCAGAGCAACCGGCACTCTTGGCATGCAGATCCGGAAGGCCTGGTCCACTCTTTGCTCACTTTTGCAGATGGGATAGGGCCTGGATGGAAGCTGGGCCTCCCACAAGCCCCAACCGAGGACAGCCACAGGGACAGTGAATCCCACCAGGTCTCTCCCTGTGTGTCCCCCAGCCAGGGCAGGGGGTGGGACGCGGAGGGCCGAGGCCTGCCCACTCACCGCAGCACCATCCTGGAGCAGGCCAGGCCGCAGTCCCAGTGGTAGAGCTGCTGGATGATGGGCACAGGCAGCTGCACAAAGTCCCCTGCTGGGAAACACAGAGGTCACAGTACCCACCACTGCCACCCGTCTGGAGCCACCGTCCTCAACTCCTGCCCAGATGCTGCAGGGGCTGTTCAGGGGCTGGGCCAAGCCTTACGGGCCACCACCCGTCCATTCTCCTTACAACAGCAGTGATCTCCCTGAAATGCCAGTCAGAGCAGGTCAGTCTAGCACAAAATGCCAGTGAGCTGGTTCCCACACCTCTCAGGGCAGTGCCTTCATGGCTGCTGCCCAGTGCCCTCTGCTTCCTTGCCTCTCTTCCCCTCCCAGCCTGCCCTCCAGGCAGAACGTTCCCATCATGAGCCCACATGCCCCGGGGCCTTTTTACACCTGCTCCCTCTGCCAGGACTGTCCTGGCCCTCCAGGTAGCTGAGCGAACGCCTGCTTGTGGACGTGGCTTCTCCACCACGCTGCCCTTCCATGCCCAGCCCCCGCTGCGTGCACTCCCAGCCCCACAGGCCTCTCTCTCTGAGCCTCTTCGTGATGGGAGTTCCAAGGAGGCAGGGACAGGGCTGGATACAGCAGGTGCTCAGATGTTCAAGTCTGAGTTCACAAGGCCAAGGACTCCAAAGCCCCCAGGGCCACCACAGTGTGAAGACCACAGCTCTGAGGAGGGGACTGGCACGTCATCTGTACGTAAAATGCTACCCTGGGTGACCTCTCAGTCTCCTTGCCAAGTGGTGAGGCGCAGCAGAAAGGGCCTGACGCAGGCGTTCTAGCCCCGGGCCTGCCACTGGCTGGCTGTGGGCTGGGCAACTGACTTCCTCGTGCTGGGCTGAGTCCGGCCGCCTCTAAATTGGGGACTTGGATCTGATTCAGGCGTTCAGTCAACAAGTATTGCCCAAGAGTCTAGTAAGTGCCTGACATGTGAACCAGAGAGATGGTGGTGAGTGACACAGACAGGTCCCTGCCCTGGTAGACAGCAGAGACAAGCAAGTGAAGAGAAAAACAGGGGGCCCAGCTAGGGGAAGTGATCGGGGTGTGCTCTAGAGAGGAGAGTCAGGGCACCAGGCAGAGGGCTGTGGCGGGGCAGGCTGGCGCACACCCTGCAGGATCCTCCTGCCCTGGATCCTGTGACTCAACAGCCAGAGTGGAAGAACGGGAGGGACTTCCCTTCAGCTGTGACTGCTGTGCTCACTCACGACACCCTTTCAGCCCATGTTGGTTCCTCACCTCAGAGGTCCTGAGGACTCTCCTGAACCCACGACCATCCTGCGCAGAGCTGCTCTGGCTCCCGTCGTGTGCACCAACCCAGAGGGCCATGCAGGAGCTCTGGAGCCCATCCTGGCCTTTCGACCTGCTGGCCTTGCCCGGGCAGTCTCTCGCCTGGTGTGGATCCCAAGCTCCCACTCTCCTGTGTCTAATCCCTCCCCAGCTCTTAAGGCCTGGCTAAGATGCCAGCACTTCCAGGCCTTCCCTGATCCCAGGCCGGCTGGACCCCAGATCACACTCTGGCTCACAGGCAGGACCCTCACCTCAAGCTTGTCAGTGCCCTGCTGGGCTGTCGCGTGTCCCCAGGAGGCAGGGACCTGACTGCTTCTTTGCTGCACTATACTGGCCTCTCCCGTCTACGCCTCACCCGCAGGGCTCGTGGATGGCAGGATGGCGTGGTGAGTGCAGGCCACCCACTGGCTGAGCCATCTGGCCTCTCGGTGCCCGCGTCAACCTCTGTGAAACGAGCCCTCAGGTGTCAGCCTGCAGGATGCCGTGGGCACTCGGGGTGAGAATGTGTGTGAAATCCTTTGCAGGTGCAAGCTGCACCCTGCCCTCCATCAGCCGGGGCCCGGCGCACTGAAGCCAGTCGGGCCCAGGCTTTGCTCCCCACTTCCCCTGGCCCCAGGAGCCTCCAAAAGGAACCCAGTTTGGGGGAGGATATAGCTCAAGTGGTAGAGCACATGCTTAGCACTAACAAAGTCCTGGGTTCAATCCCCACTACCTCCTCTAAAAATAAATAAATATATTAATTAATTAATTAACTATCTAACCCCCCCAAAAATAAAAAATCTACTTTAAAAAAAAAAAGGAACGCAGGCCACCACTTAAGGCCCTCCAACATTCTCCCCATGCCGTAGATTCAGTCCTGAGGGCGTCCTGCCTGACTTCTGCCTGTCCTCTGTCCCAGTTCTACCCCCAGCCCCTCTCCTGTTTCTGTACACCGTGGCCAGAGGGATCTCTCTTTTTTCTTTGACTGTTTAAATTTTCATTAACAACTTAGTTACCTTTATACCATAATTTACATGTTTTAAATTTTATTTTGGTCAGAGGTTTTTTAACTTTTTTTTTAATTGAAATATAGTTGATTTACAATGTCTCCTACTGCTCTTAGAATAAAATTCTCACCCTTTACTAAGGCCTCCAGGGCCCATCCCACCTGCCTCACCTTGGTCCTCACTCCAGGATCTTTGCACGTGCAGCTCTGAAACTCTCTTTCCCCTCAGTACTCAAGGCTGTCTCTTTTTGTCATTCAGGTCCCAGGTCAAAGTCTCCTCCTCTGAGAGGCTTTTTCTGACTATGCCTTTGTGGGGAGAGGCCCTCCTTCACAGTACTTCCTTGTCTCCTCCAGAATACTCAGCAAAACTAATAAAAACATAAACATAAAATACAGCTATCCCGTCTCCCCACTAAACCGTAAGCTTCCTAAAGGCTGAGAATTTGCTAATTTTGTTCAGTGTTACTCCCCATGCCTAGTGTCTGAGGCTTAGTAGTAACTTAGTAAACGTTTGCTGGAAGAAATGAACTTTTTAAGCACCCACTGTGTGCTAGCTCTGCAGACACTACAGGTGCCTGGGACCAGAGCTCTGCCTTCGAGGTATTCATATTCTAAAACAAGCCCCCATGGGGCTGAGGGGAGGGAGAACTCTATGCAGGCTGTTGGGTCCTCGTGGTGGGCGCCTCCCTCTTCCAGAAGCCCTCGCTGTAGCTATAAAGTGCCTTTTTGTTTTTCTTTACACAGGCTGTTTACTCCCCAGCCTTTGCTCCTGCACACCCTTCAGTCTGGAACGTTGTCTCCCATCTCTGAACATCCAGATGCTCTGGCTCCTTCCCTCCCTGAGGCCCTCAATACGGAGGGTTTGAGGTGGTGTCTGCCTCCCACACCAGAAAGACCAGTAACTCCCCAGTGGCAGGCAGGCAAAGGGTTGCATTTGCCTCCTCCCAGCCCTCTGACCACAAGAGGTATGCAGACATGCCTGAACAGTGAACGGAAGGAGTTTTTTTCCTTTTTGGACTTATACCTCAAGATGCCCAGTCCCACTTGTCACCGCAACGTGCTCCTTTCCCCTAGGCTTCCAGACTGTAGCCCTCTGTTCACAGCTCCCTCCTTACTCTGTGGCCTGGGCTCTGGCACTGGCTAGCTGGGCCATCTCTGGCCAGACTTTGACTCTGCCCATGCCTCCCCTATGCTCCGCTGGAGATGTGGCACAGGACAAGTTCTCTAGGGCCCCCGGGAATTCTGCTGCCCCTCTTCGTCTTGCCCTGATCTCTAGAACCCTTTGATCCTCCCCACACCCTACCCCCCTGGTAGCTAAACATCCCCACATGGCCATCCCATCTTGGCACAGGAAGGGCAGCCCACAGGGACCCAGAGGTACTCCTGTAGGGAGTGATAAGGGTAGGCGAGGCCTTCCGAGGCCAAACTTGCTGCCAGATATTGATGCCTGGAGCCAAGAGACTGTCCCACCTGAGAGTTAGGGACTGCCTGGCAGGCACTGGCCTGGCCTCAGTTGGCAGCTCACGGGCCCTGAATACTTAACCCCTCTCAGCCTCAGTCTGCTCAAAAGTGCACATTACAATGGGTTATGAGGATTAATAAGGCTCTGCATGTAAACAGCTTAGCACAGTGCCTGCCCAGAGACCTCCCTGTAAACGTGACACACTACTCCACTGAGGTTCAGGAAAGGCAAGTGTCTGATCAAGATCACTGGGTCAGATATTTGGAGGAGTAAGGAGGCAAAACCCAGGGTAGCACCTACAACTTGCTGTAATCACAACCAGTGCCCTACTAATGCCTTAGGGCGGGGGTCCCACATGCTCTTGACCTCTCCCATGAGGTGGCACCTCACTTTAAGTTTACCAGCAAGCACTGTCTCTTTCTCATCAACCCTGTGCTTGAAGCAGAGCAGGAATTATTGCTCCCCTCCCCCCACTTAGAAAAGCAAACTTACACCAGGGCACTGAATGTCAGTCTTGGTTTCTGCCCCAAAGGAACTCAGGCCACATGGGACTGAAGGAAGTAGAGTGAAGAACTGCAGCAAGAAAAAAAAGCTGAGTCTGGGGGGCCCTTCCCCGTCGCTCTGTGCTCACAGCCAGTTCCCTGCCCTTCTAGGCCTCAGTTCCCTGAAGTGACAGATCTCCCAAGGCGGGTCCAGCAGGACTTTCCGTTTCTAGGGAAGATGCCGCCCCTGCCTCACAACCAAGATCTTCCCATGACCGCTAACAGAGCTGACTAGGGTCCCAACTAACCGGGGCTGGGGATGGGGGCCAAGGCGGAGTGCACACCTGGCCAGGTTTCGCTCAAAGCTTTACAGCCTGGGCCGTGGGGGCGGTCGGCCCACGGTCGCGCGACGGAACCCTGCCCCGCGCTAGGGTGAGGTTCCCCTTGTTCCCCGGGGTGAGGGCTGAGCCTTCAGGGAGGCACTGACCGGGCTCCAGTGGTGGCCCCTCTGCCTCCGCCTCTGTCCTCATGACCCGGGCAGCGCGGGGCTCCCATGGCCCCGGCCCGGCGCCGGCTGCAGCTTTGGCTTCGGCTGGGGCGGGAGCGGGGCCGGTGCGCGCCGGGTTCCTGCGCCGCCACTGCCACCGCCAGCGCCAGCGCCAGTACGGCGGGGAGAAGAGGAGGCGGCTGCTGGGCCACCCCAAGCCCCGCCCCGGCCCTTCCAGGCCTCGGCCCGCCCTGCCCCTCCCCCGACTCCTACGCCTCCAGGCCCGCAAGCTCTGGATCTCAACGGGTCCCTGCCGCTCGGGGTCTGGGCTCCCGGGGACCCCGCCCCTGGCCTCCCCGGGCCTTGCGCGAACGCGCAGCCCTTCCCCGCCTCGCTCCCCGGAAGCCCCGCCCAGGCCCGGGCGTTCCGAGAACGCTGGCTCCCCAGAGGCTCTTCCCCGGGCAAGCTCCGCCTCTGCCCAACACCGCGCCTCCGCCAGCATCGGGTCCGAGGCACAGCGCGGGGCTCCGCGAGGCCCAGTCTTACTCCGAATCCCGTGGGCCGGCCTCCGCTCTGCTCCGTCTCTGTTCCCCTATCCGTTCGGTGGGGTACCTCGCCTCGCTCAGGGCGCGCCTCACCTGGCGCTGCCGAGTTCCGAAGTTTAAATTGTGAGGGGAGGTCCTGGCCCTCGGTCCCACCACCTGCCGCCACTGAGCCCCGCCGGGCGGTCCAGCCCGTCTCTGGTGTCGGGTGCTTGGAAGCGCGAGCCCCACTTTGCCCTTGCCGGCCCGAGGGTCGGTGTTTCCGGCGGCACCTGGGTCCCGTCATCAGCTCTCTTCCGGGGCCGGAACTATTGTACCAGAGCCTAAGTTTCCCAGCCGGCGGGGTGAAGAGGAAGCGGAGGCGAGACCAAGCTCGCCACTGCGAAAAGGAAGAGGGGGCAGGCCCTGCGCAAGGCACTTTGGGAACGCGTGGTATTCTGGGAGCGCGGGCCCGCCATTCGCTCGCCTCACGCTTTCGTGGTCGCCAGTCTCCGCAGCACCAGAAAGGAAGAGACCGGAGCCGGTGAGGAGAGGCCGGGGGCGGGCGAGGGTAGGTCCAGGCACCCGCGAGGGGCCGGGGCTGGAGAAGGACGCGCTGCGTAGGAGCTCTGCGGAGTCGGGGATGGAGAAGGGCGGGAAGCCCGGCCACCCAAACAGCAGCGTCGCCTCACTGGCGCCTGGAAGCGAGTTCATTAGCTTTTCCTCAAAGTGCGTGCTCTTCACTGTCTACACCTCTCCAGGACGGTGCTTTTCTAAGCACCCAGGCAGTGGTCTTGAGATCATTTCTGGCTGTCTCCTCCCCCGAAATCCTGCGTAATCTTCTTCGAAATCCTTTGCATCTCGGCCTCCATCCCCTTTCCAGGCACGCTCCCCTCAGGCTTTCCACACTTACACAAGATTCTGTCAAGTTTCCCTGTTTCTAAGCTGTGTTAAGTCCATTTTGTAAGTGCTGCCGCCTTTCCATTAGATAGTTCCTGACCTGTAATCTGCCGTGATTCCCCCACTGTGTTCGGTATAAAATCCACCAGGCACCTCACCAAGGGAGCCTGTCTTTCCCAGCCTCTCCTGTTCCCTTTCCTGTCTTGACCACACGGGTGTTCCAACCTTCAGCTACTCATCTTGGAATTTAAAAGTTCACTGCTTTTTCTCTTTTAATTAGGTCAAGTCAGGCACTTGCCCCAATTATGTTTTTCCTCCAAGATAACTATTTCCTGCTTATAGCACATTCTTTGTGAACGCTTTGATGTTTTCTCTGTAGCCTTAATGGTGATGTAAGTGGAGGGTCAGAGACCACTTAATGAGTTGAATTAAATGCACAGTCTTTTCTAGATTGGCTCTTTTGGTGGTGGATCTGCACTGCCCGATACTGGCCACTTGTGGCCACTGGGCGCTTTAAATGTGGCTAGTGTGACTAAGGGACTGAATTTTTAACTTAATTTAATTTTAATTGGGTTTAATTTCTGTAGCTAAATGTGGACACTGACTACCCTTTGGGACAGCTGAGGTCTGCATCATAGGTTCTTGCAGTGGTGTTACCTGCAACTTTGGGTTGACAGGTACACATGCATCCCAGCCCCTCTCTTCCTCAACACACCAATAACTGTCTGTTCCCAGTAGGGGAACACATAGTTATTTGATGAAGATAAAGGGACATGTGGTGGTGGGGAGATGGGAGGCACTTTATTTTCATTCCCATTAGCTTTCCCTCTATCCAGTTCCCCATTCCTCCCCACCCACATGTTGCTTGTGTTTGCCAGGTAGGTTCCTCCAGCTGGGAGTCCTCCTTTTTTCCTGCTTAAAAAAAATGCAGCTTTGTTAAGTTTCATGGAGTGTGAGGCCTTGAGGGAGACACGGTGTGTGCCACTTGCCTTCTCCAGCTCTGAAAGATGAACTCATTGTTGTCTCTCTCCCTAGGACTCTCTTCCTGCCAAGATGTCTATTGGCGTGCCGATTAAAGTCCTGCATGAAGCAGAGGGTCACATCGTGACTTGTGAGACAAACACCGGTGAGGTGTATCGAGGGAAGCTCATCGAAGCTGAGGACAACATGAACTGCCAGGTATCCTGCTTTGCACACGAAGCTGTGGGGGCAGCGTGAGCCTGTGTCTTGGAGGACAGACAGGTGGTGATTGGAGGTGTTTTTGAAGTTCTGGTTCAGTAGTTACTTACTGGGTGCCTGATGTGTGCCACTGTTACAGGTCCCGGGGGTGTGGGCATAAATTAGAGCCGTTTGGAAGTTTGGGATATTTAACTTTGTCCTTTCTTTTCCCAATCCTGTAATCATTTTCCCCCATATTTTGGGGACCTGTTTAAGAGAAGTCACAGGTGTGAGTTTAGAGGACAGTTTTAAGCTTCCTACAGGCCAGGTAGAGGGACACCATCAGTTCTGAGGTGCATAGTTTCCTTTCAGTGAAACACCAGTGTGTGTTTCCCTGACCCTGGATATGAGAGACCATCCTCCTGGGCGCAAAGGAAGGAGATACAGTGTTAGATAATCTCCTCAACAACACCCCTGCACAAAATACACCTTCTTTCTGGATTCTTTGGGTATTTTTAATGTAGCCTGTTATCAGCCCTTTTCTAACATTTGAAAATGTGATGTATGCGCTTGTTAAGTCCCTGTGGTGCTTCTAGAGTCAGGGAGTGTAGGCACTTCTGAGCATCTGAAGTTTGGCTGGGAAGGCAGGGAGCTTTTCTCTCTCAGCTCCCCACAGCCCACGCCTGCAAGGCAGGCCTGATCTGGTGGCTGCAGGACATGGCATCAGCATGCGTGCTGCTGAGGGCCCTGCATCAAGGGATGAACAGGCCTTTATTAAATGTACAGGGATTCGGGTTTACATTCCTGGGTACCAAGTGCCTGGCTTCATTTCACTGTCTACCCCAGCTTACCCACTCCTTGACCTTTGTGTCTACTTTTACCCTACCAGATAAGTTTGTGTGAGTCTCCTCTAACTCTTTGTGAAAGGAGGTAGAGTTTTTACTTTTTAGTAAATACTAAAAACCCAAAATATGTTCCCTGGGGAAAACGTCCATCCCAATTGTGAGCTTAGATATTTAGTAAAATATCAGAAACCATAAAAAGAGCTTTAAGGTGAGGAATAATGAGTAGAAATAAGCACATCATTTTGATTTTCTAGGCTAGACTATATTGATGTAGCCTTTTGGGGGAAACTTTGATGGCAGTGGATTGGATCCTGTGTTCGGTGCGCTGGGTCCTAGATTCTTAGTGAGGCTGGGAGTGGTCTCCTGGCCTAGCTGTGTCAGTATTCAGACTTTTAGGACAACTCGTGATTTTTTTTATGATGAAAGTTTGTTTTATTTAATATATAAGTAGTTTTCACAGTAGTTAAGAATGTTAATTTCCCATTTAAAAATGGGTAGATAATTCACAAAAATACTGGACATTTGACATCCAGAAATAATGACGTTGTTAATAATCAGATGTGCAAATTAAAAACAGTAAGAATGTCTAAACTTGTAAATTAGCAGAATAAAATTAATAATGCTTCCAAGGAGTCCTTGCTACTCTGCCAGCAGAAGTGTAAATTGTTACCTCCTTTCTGGAAGCATATTTAACATATGTCAGCATATCTGAGTTCATGATCCTTACTGTGATCTGCTTTCAGAAATGTATCCACAGTTGTGGACAAAGGGTATCCATTGCAGCGCTGTTTTTAATAATGCAAACCTGAAAACAACCAACATTTCTAACAAGTTAAATGAATTATGATTAACCAAACTAGTGTATGTTACAAAGAATATTATTCACCAAAGAAAATAGCATAGAAGAGTATTTAATGCTGCGGGGAAATGCTGTTGACCCGAATGGGGGAGGAATACAAAACTCTACAATATGTTCCCAGTTAAAAAAAAAAACAACCCAAGCTACAAATGATACATTAAGATGCTTTAAAAGTTTTTGAGGAAGACCAAAGTGAGTGGTTGTCTTTTGGTAGAAAATTGTATGTGATTACATTTTTTAAAATATTTTTCTCATTTTTAAAAATGATAAGCATATGTTAAGTTTGTGATCATAAAGCACAGTAAGTGTTGTCTTTTAAAAAGAGGGTAAGAGTCAAATCCAAAACTTCACTGTGCTTGAAGCAATGTAATTCCAGCTGTTTTGGTGGGGAAAAATGATAGTTGACGGTTAATAGATTACACAGAAGTGATGCTTTGGGGCTCTGGCGTGATCACCTCACCACTGACAAGACCGTCTGAACTGTTCACTTGGCTGCGGCATAATGGTCTGTGGGAAATGGTCTTGGGTGGTGTCTTCATATAAAGGTAGCAACCCAAAAGAAGTTCTCAACGTGACTCAGTAGAAAACCTCCCAGAATTAGTATCAGGAAAATTTTTCAAGTTTCTGGGTAGGAATTTCTTCAGATACCTAGCTCTCTAACTAGAAGGATAACTAATTATTAAGTTATCTACTATATGTTCTTTCTGAGCAATTTGAGAGTGGCTTGCAGGTATCATGCTCTTTTATTGCATGTACTTATGTGTCTTTCCTCTCACTGTGTCCACAGCACAGTTACTAATTCAAGAACTCCAGCACCGAGCTGGTACTCTGACCTGCGATGTGTCCACTGACTACACGTGTGTGCCTTGTGTGTCCTTTATGGCCATGCTGTCCTTTCTGCCTCATTCAGTCCAGGGTCCCTTGCTGCGCTTCACTGTCAGCCCGCTGGATGCTTCTTTAGTCTAGGATGGTCCCTCCAAGTTTGCTTTTCACACCATTGACGATTTTGAAGACTAGAGACCAGTTATTTTGTTAGACTGTCCCTTGATTGGGGTTTCTGTGATGTTTCCTCATAATTAGATTTGGGTTATGCCCTCTTTTAACTGTTACAATATAAGTGATTTTGTCTCCTGGGGTGTCATTCAGGCCCGAAACACTTGTCTGCCCCCATTGGTGCTGTTAACCTTGATCTTTTGGTTAGGGTGCTGTGTGGTCTCTCCAGTGTGTGTTCCTTTCCTTTTGTAACTAATGAGAATTTTGCTGGGGCGGTTCTTTAAGTCAGTACTTGAGAGTGTTCTGTTCCTCTTCATTCTCCTGCCACCCCCCCTCCCCCGCCAAGCCCCATTTAGCATCCAGTGAGGATTCTTGCTTGAATCTTCTTACAATTAAGTTTGCAAAAGGATGATTTATTTTCCTCCATCATTCCCTCTGTATTTATTGGGTCTGCTGCATGGAAGTGCCTCCCCTTATCCCCCATTTATTCATTCATTCATCTGTTATCAACATGGGCTCACATTATCAATATGTCTTGTTAAGTGGGTTATAGTCCACTGCTGGCCTTATTTATTGTGCTGTTCCAGTGATCCCAGATTTGGCCAGTAGGAACCCTCTCAAGCTGACTTCTCTGTCCTTTATGTCTTGGCTGTTTTGGGGAGCACATCCCTAACTTGTGGTACAAGATGTTTGTTACAGGCTCATCTTTAACCTAGCTCTGGAATCAGCCATTTCTTCAAGAGCTTTGCTTTCTTTCAGGTTGGGAGTAGAATGTAGAAACCAGGTTCTGGGTACTGTTGAGTATTTTAAAAGTCTTAGTTTAACTTGTCAAGCTAGGACCTGTCTCCAAAGGGCTGTGAGCTTAATAGTACCAGAAGATTCTGTTCACTGCATGCACGTTCTGTGCCAGGCACTACGCTGAGGTTTTTACATACAGTAGATCCTTCAGTCATTACAGGACCTCTCTGAGCTCAGACAAGGTTCCAGATGCCCAGGGTGACCAATCACATGTGGAAGGAGCTGATCTAAACCCAGTGTGTGACTCCAAGTCTGTGATAAGCCTGTTGGATCCTGTTGCTCATGCCATCTGTGTTTCGTTGTGGCTGCTGGGAAAGTTGAGTGAAATGGGTGTTCCTGCCTGACTTTAATTAAAACCTAGTTGCTGCCTTTGGCTTATGGTACAGACATAGCTGGGCTTGTTGACACACTGTGCAGCCGTAGCGGGGCCTGGGGGCCTTGCACACAGCCTGGCCGTTTCTCACTGGCGCCACGGTGAGAGCCGGAGAGCAGTAGCGGGCCAGTTCTCAGGGTTGCAGTGGGAGTGATGATACTGGACTCTTGCTTCAACCAGGACACGTGCCGTGTGTGAAAGCACTTAGTGTAAGTCTTGTTGCTGTTATGTAACAGCCTCTGTCAAGGACCCTGAAGCGGGTTGGGGAGAGTGTGGCAGGCGGGGGTGAGATGCTCTGGGAGGCAGTGGAGGAGAGGTGACTTGGCAGCAGCAGAGCCCCCAGAGTAGGCGGTGGTGGCAGCCTCAGAGCGTACTTGGCCTTTTCGTACGCTGGGTTCTCAGTCAGAGGCCAGGTGGCCAGTCAGCACTGGAAGGAAAGAGCAGCAAGCCAGTCAGAAATCTGGGAGGCAGCACACCTCCTGCAGTGTGGGCTTGACTGTTCTGAATACACTGTAATCCGTTCCCATCCAGAAGGCTGGGAAATAAGCTACTTTTTCTGTTAAATGTGGTCCCTGTTGAGATTGTTGGCAGGTCTGTGTCCCCTTCCCACACCGAGGCAGTGTACTGGCTGGACTCACCTCTGGCACCCCAGTCCCATCCTGCGGTTTGTCCATGCTGGTAGTCAGCTGTTCAGAGGGCTCCCTGGACCCTGTCCCTCCCACCTCTGTCCACAAACTTGAGGGAACCCATGGTCTCTGAGATGGTGGTCCCGTCTCTTTCTGCAAGCTCTTGCCTCGCACCCCTCCAGTATTCCGGGCCCTCAGTGCAGGCACTGCCACCTCCGCTTCTCAGCACCTGTCCCAGGCCAGCGGGGCTTAGTCTCACCTACTGGAGTACGTCCTCTGGGAGGACGGGAACCTTCACGATGCCTTTGCAGTCTGCATGCAGGACACAGTTTGGACAAGCAGTTCTAAGCTGTCTCAGTTAGCATTATCACCGCCAGGAGCACTTTATGTGCTGGCAGGAAGACTGAGTTAGGGCCCTGGGGCCAGGCCAGTAGAGTTCTAATCAGGAGTCCCTGCATTCTGGCTCTTTGACCTTGGACAAATGCCTTAGTTTTTTTAATCTTTAAAAATGAGAAATCTCATACCTACCCTGCAGGTTCTGTGAGGATCAATGATACGAAGTGCTGAGCACTGTCCCTGGCTCATATGGTAGACACTGGAATTACCCCAGCTTTGCCTGGCTCCTTGATTTTGTTATGTTAGTTCTGCCTTTCTGGCCTCCTTTCCCAGCAGCCAAGGCTTGTCTCCATGTGCCCCTGTTCCCTGCTATCGGCCCTTACTGATGAGCTGGTGATTTCCTTCCAGATGTCCAACATCACAGTCACCTACAGAGATGGCCGTGTGGCGCAGCTGGAGCAGGTGTACATCCGCGGCAGCAAGATCCGCTTTCTGATTTTGCCTGACATGCTGAAAAACGCACCCATGTTGAAGAGTATGAAAAACAAAAACCAAGGCTCAGGGGCTGGTCGGGGAAAAGCTGCTATTCTGAAGGCCCAAGGTAGGTGCTCCTGGTGCACTGCTTGTGACATGCGGGTGTGTCTGGTACCTTTCAGAAAGGGGCCCTGTTATTGCTGGGGCCTGAGACTGGACCTGACCTCTCCACACCACTGCCATCCCTTTTCCCTGCACTCTTGGGGGATCCTGGGTGGGGGCAGGTACCCTGCCTTCTGTATGTTGCCTCACCTGGTCCAATTCAAGGGGCTTATGCAAAATCCAAAGTGGCCCCTTAGAAAAAAGATGGGGATTTAAATGAAAGAGTAGTTGGTCTCCCATAATGGCTCTCTGGGAGGCCCTTTGTTTTCAGAAATTCTGGGGAGTCTGCCTTGGTCTAGTTTGCTGAGCAGAGACACTGCAGTGTGGATTAGCTGACTCCTAAAGCAATGGGGTAAATAGTTCCTAGTGGGGCTGAGGGTGTGTACTGACACCCAGCATTAACAGGGGGAGACAGTCGGGGGACCCATTTCCAGAAAAGAAAGAAGCAGGTTTGAGCCATCTTTACCCATTAAAGGGTGCTGAACTTATATTTCCAAAGCTTCTTATATTTAAAAGTAAATCCTTCCTTTTACATTCCAAAAATGGACTGGTCTTTCTTGGTGACTTAGTGCGACCTTTTTTCTGGGTTAGCCCAATCAGAGTTTTGTATCTGGGTCCTGAAAAGTTCAGCCATGCTGATAAGTTACGAAAGCAAGTGCAATCGTTAGAAACGGTCTCAAAGACCATCGTGATAAAGAGGTGGACAGTGCAGGAGGGTCACTGGAGGCTCTGTCAGTATCTTCAGCTGCGGTCCACGTTGTACGTGAGGCAGCTTTTGAGATTAAAGATGCAGTTGAGTAATCCTGTACAGTGCCCTTCAGAATAACTGATCAGAGAATTCATTGACCTTCTCCAACGAGAGGTAGTACGGAGAGAGAACCAGAAGCTCTGGACCTTTTATCCTGGGGAAGGAGTGATTTTCAAAAGTGCTGGCTTTGTGCGGGCACTGCTATTCTGTCTGCTTCGTCCACGGGGGCTGCCCTTGTCGCTGTGTGACTGTCCCGTCTTCTCGCCAAAGGAGAAGCCCAGAGGTGCTTGACTGAGTTGCCTGGCTCACTGACTTCTGCCTGAGCCATCTGTGCACCCCCCCACCCTCACCCCAGCCCTTGCTCGGGTCTGTCAGCACGTGACCCGATTCTCCTGTGGTTTCCCTCCCTCTTCAGGCCGGTTCCAGGCTCTAAAAGGAGAGGGGGTGAGGCTCCAGTTAGTAGCTGTCACGATATTTCCACCTGTTCTTCAAAGCTACTGGTCCTGTCCCAAAACCCTCAGGTCGCAGAACAGCAGTCTTGTGCCCTTTGTATGGGGGGTGGTTTTGTTTTGGGGTTTTGTGGGGGGGTTCTGGGGTTTTTCTTTGTGGTTTTTTCCTCCTATTATGAAACATTTCACACATGTAGAATAGCTCAAAGAAACCTTTCACCCAGATTTAATAGATGTTAACATTTAACTGTATTTGTTTCAGAATTTTAAGTGTGAGTTAAATGCATCTGTCATGTTTTATTAGCTCACCCTCAGCCAGCTCTAAGAATTCATCTTTTCTGTGGTTCCCACAGTGGTTCCCTAAACCACCTTAGCTTTTGGGGCCCTGCCTCCGAGTCTCCTGTAGAGAGCAGTGCTGGGCTGGAAGGCAGGAGTCTGGGACCTCCCACTCTGAGGCCAGGCACCAGTCCCCGCCCATTTCCTGCTGTGAAATGTGATGAGGTGGGCATGGTGCTGGACCAGGTGGCCTTTCAGGCCCCTTCCTGGGCCGACGTCCAGGGCCCTGGCTGCTCTGTGGTATGAGTACTCACTGATCACACTGACCTGGCCTTGTCCTTTCTCTTCCCCATCTTTCAGTGGCCGCAAGAGGGAGAGGACGTGGAATGGGACGTGGAAACATCTTCCAGAAGCGAAGATGAATTTATCTGTTGGACAGAACTTTGCCCTTATTTTTTCTTTAAGGTTGTCTGGGTTTGGGGGGTGCACACCTGTGTATATGTCCTAGGTTATCTTTTGACATCATTTTCTTTAGATCAGGGGAAATGTTAAACTAAATAAATAAGGTGATGGTTGTTGTTTTTTTTTTCTTTTTGACAACAAAAGGACTGTGTTCATTTTGGAGTTTTTGATTGTGTTTGCCTTGGCAGCAGGTTAAACTCTGATACCCAGGGCGATGTCCTGGGATCGTGCCAGTACTTTGAAGTAGCACAGGTTTTGGTAAGAGCATTTGCTGCTGCTCCAGGCTTGTTGCTGGTTAAGCCCTCAGAACGACTCCGAGGACGCACAGATTGTCTCATTTGTCTTCAGACACGGGCCCTCACACAGCACTTTGTTCAGGTATCTGTGGAGGAAATGCCATCAGCTCAACTTGAACAGCCCAACACAGATGATCCTGACACAGAAAATCCAGTGCTTTGCCCTTGTAGCCTGGAAACCCTCTTGGCTCAGCATTTGGCAAAAGTAATCTAATATAAAAAGGTGATTCAGAGAATCCTGGTGGCTCCTGTCCTGGCTTCATAAGCATTTTTGTTGTGATTTGGGGGGACAGTTCTTGTGTGTTGATCAGTGTCAACTGGCACAGCTGCAGGTTTTAACTAAACAAAGGCAACTAAAGACAGAGTGTGCACAATGAAGAGCTGGCAGAAGCATGGAGATTGGAAATGCAGCCTGGAGAAGTCAGACGTGGGAGAGAGGCCTCGCAGGGGTTCCATATAAGGTGAGCTACAGCAAAAACGACTGAGGAAAAGGGATCACTTATCGGCCCTTAGAACATTGCTCACTGAATGTTGGTCAAGTAGTGGAGGGAGAGGAAGAACCCGGCACCAAACAGGTTTTCTAGCAAGTGTTGTCCTATAGTCGTGATGCTACCACGAGGGGACAGACCTTATATTCTTCCCGTAGTAAGAACTGGCAGAGAGCAGGCATCTGTGATCGGTCAGCTCACACGGGCTCGTCCCCTGGAGCAGCCCCTGTGTTGTGTCTCTTGGTCCTGCACCCCAGCTTCTCTGCCACCTTTGGATGAAGTCTGGCCAGTGGTCCGGCAGGCAGTGCTGCTGCAGCTGTGACATGAACTTAACTGTGGAAGGAGTTAAGAGTTAATTTGTTTTAGGTTTAACCAAGAGTTTATTTGTTTCTGATAAGAAATGTGTACATTGAGTTACATATAGAGTAGATTTCGTTGAAGTCCTTTTAAGTGGAATTCTTTCAGGTAGAAGTTTCAGGTCTAGCCTGGATGCCTCCCCTTCCCTGCTGGTGACCTTGATTTAGACATTGGTTTATTGGCTTTTTAATTGAGCCTTTTGCATTGTTAACATAGTGAGCAGTGGTTTCAGCATCAGCTGGGGGTCTGGTTAGAGATGAAATGCCACGGCCTCACCTTACCCTAGAGATGCTGGTTAGTTGGTCTGGAATTGAGACTCAGGAATCTGCATTTTAAACCATGCCCTTGCTGCCCCCACTTGGTGTTTCTGATTCAGTATATCTGAGGCTACATTTTGACCGTGATTTAAAGTATGTTACTTTAGTGTGATTGCTACTTTAATTTTTGTACTTTCACAGTAAACAGTACTTTAAATAATAACACATTACACTTAATAGTGATACGTTGCATCCTGAATCTGAAAAGCTGACTTTGGACGTTGTTCTCCCTGGGAACCATGTGGGAGTACCAGCCGTATGCATTCTATACACAGTGAAAGCTAGCTTAACCGTCCCCAGATCCTGAAAAACAAAGGGTGTTCTCATGTTTTTGTTTCTAGTTAAATATTCACTGTAAAAGTTTAGAAGTTTTACAAAATAATAAAATTAACCCAAAACACAGAGATTTGTAAAGTTTCATGTCCTGCATTTTAGAATAATGTTTGTCAGTTATTCGCATTGAAAGAGCAAATAGTTCTGGTAGATTTATTGTGACCAACAGCAGCCCTCCTGCTCTGTCGGCCCTTGTCCCCATTCCCGCCTCCCGGTAGCCCTCTCCAGCTCTTGGCTGGTGGTTTACATTTGCTTCCATGTCTCAGTGTAAACTGCCTTGTGTGGCTCCTCCTTGAAATTTTGTTCAACTTCCTCCTCCTGCCCACCATGCATGAACTCTCCATCACCACCTCCCTGGTGTGATGCTGGTTAGATCATATTCAGTGTTTACATTATTAGGGCTGGGTATTTAATTCACAGCTGAACCAGGTAGTAGACTACTTTGCTGCAGAACTTCCTCTTCCCTGGAATTTATAATCCTCACATTTTGGGGGTGGGGGGGGAGTAATTAGGTTTATTTATTTATTCTTAGAGGAGGTACTGGGGATTGAGCCCAGAACCTCATGCATGCAAAGCTCATGCTCTACCACTTGAGCTATACTCCATCCCATTCTTAATTGCTTAGTTTTCCATCTCCTTGTCATGAGTTCAACTCCAAAGTTCTCTGAAGCCATTAATACACCATCTGTTTTATCCATTCCTTCTTGATTGGCCCCAGTCTAGACTGGCTGTCCTTGGTGCCTAACGTGTTGCTGCTACCCTGGGCTTTCCTCTGTAGAATCTCCTGTTGTTTTGTGTGTGTAACCTCTTCCTCTCATGGTTTATTACCTCATTCTGGTAGAGACCTGCTATAGAAGGGGTGCATGGCCAGTAATTTTTTGAGAGCATTGCATATTTGAAAATGGCTTGTTCTCACAATACTCGACTGAGTATGAAATTCTGGATTGGAATTGGTTTTCCTTTAGAATTTTGAAGGCATTTTTCTTCTGGCATCTTGTGTTGCTGTGGAGGTCTGAAGCCACTCTGAGTGCTGACCTGTGTGTGTGACCCCCTTTCCCATCTGTCGCCAGCGTTCTGAGATTTCACACTGACGTGCCCTGGCTCAGGTCTGTTTTCACGCATCGTGCCAGGCTTTCGCTGAACCTTTTCAGAATGGACTCTAATCCTTCCTTTCTGGGAAACTTTTTTGAGTAACTTGTTAATGATTTCCTTCCTTTGGTTTTTTGATTTTTTCTTTCTGGAATCCTGTTATTCATATGTTGGATTTCCTGGACTTCCCTCTGTTTTTCTTTCTCTTTTCTCTCTCTGCCACCCACACCCAATTTTCTTGTTTTTTGATCTCCGATGTGGCAGATTTCCCCAAGTTGATTATCTTAAGATTCCTTTTAATTTTTTTAATAGGACTTAATTCCATGGTTGCAATATCTTCCTCTCTCTAAGGACGTGAGTGTGCTGTGTTGAAGCTTTCATCTCCTGTGTGATGTTTTCTTACCGCTTTTTGTTTTTCTTTTAGTCTCATTTTTATACCTTTCTTTTTAGCTGCCTGGCATTCATCAGTAGTCTGCTTACATTGAAGACTGGGGTATTAAAAAGAATGTGTTTGTGAGGTGAGCTGATTGGACTTTTTGGGTAAATCCCCAACATACTTTTAGGACTTTCCTCTTGGGCTGGTGAGATTCCTTGAAGAAACCTTCAGTCTCTTGTCAGGAGGGCTTACCTTGGCCTGCTGGCCTCCTGGGAGCTGAGTTGAGGGGAAGAGGGCTGGGGATTCTCAGCGTTCATGTATGTCCAGATTCACTTCATCTTCTAGGCTTCTGGGAAGGCCTCCTAGTCCAGAAAGCTTGTCACCCCCTCTAGGGAGTAAGCTTCCAACTTTTTCCAAGGCTGGGGAGGAGCAGTCTCAAGATCATCAGGAGATCATTTTAAGCACATGCTATCATTTTTTTTAACGTGTTTTCTTAGAAAATATATTTAAAATTGAAAACAACTTGGCAAGATAAAGAACCAAGGATGAAGTCATAGAAGGATAACTAGACCAAGATTTAAGAGGTGAATTTTGGCTCTGTTGCCACTACAAATTCTCTCTAGACCCCTGGTTTGTTATCTGTACAAGGGAGCGTTTAGACTCAATTGATTCATTGATACTGACTCGCCTGCTGGGTATTCCATAACTTTAAAAAATAAAGTCAGAGCACACAGACGTTCTTTCTGCTTCTGGCCAAGATGGGGGTAATTGCCTAGATTTATACCTTCATGCCTGCAAAAAGATAAAAACTCAAGAGACTGAAGAAGAGTAATCCCTAAGAGATGGGTAACAAATGGGGTGGTAACAAATACTGCATTGTGAGAGTTTCCAGGCTGTGGCACAAAGGGATCACGCCAGCCTTCCTGGGCTGAGGAGTCATTTAAGTGTTGAGAGGCTGAGGCAGCTCGAGCTCATAGGACAGAATAGCAGAGAGAAGAAAGCTGCACAGAGAACCCAGGTGGTCTGCAGAAGATCCCTCTTGAATATTCAGAATACTGATCAGCATAGGAGTGGGTAAACAGTCTGGGGAAGGAACCATCAGAAAAGTTGTAACAGTGCCTGGCATCACACAGGGCTGGGAAGGGTCCCAGCGGCCAGAGAGGAACTCAGGATAGTGAGTAGACTATTGTTCAAAATATACCAGGGGTTTTATTTTGAATAAGTATAGAATTAGATAGTTTGAATAAATTCAGGGCTGTGAGCTATAGGGGTCATCTCTAGCTGTGCAGTACCTGGCACTGCGATGATGTATAGCAGGGGAGATAGTGGCTTGATGTGTGAGAGTTAAAGATGGTTGGGGATAGACTCTGGATTGGTTAGTTTGTGTGTGAAAGGTATATTGTGCAAGCAAATTGTTTACTATCTCTAGGAATTAACTATAGGAGGGGCAGTCTCTGAAGGATTAACAAGGCCCCAAGGTGTCAAAGCATCATTAAAAAATTTAAAACATTCAATAAAAACATTTGTAATACAAAAATATGTGTTTTAATACAAGTATCCAGGAAATTCTTGGCTCATAAATGAAGAATGACTAGCCCTAGGCTGAGTTCTTCTGGACCCAGCTGACAAATCATAAAAACAAGACATGAAAGGATCAAACTGCTGCCAGGTCAATTAGCTGTATCCTGGAACAGAGCTAGAGAAGATTTATAGAAACATAAAAATATCTAGCACCCTACAAAGTAAAATTCACAATGTCTGGCATCCAGTCAAAGATTATGAGATATGCAAAGAGGCAGGAAAGCACAACCCATATGAGAATAATTAAAACAACCAAAACTGACACAAATGTAAGAAGTAGCAGAGGACATCACTGCAG